CGGGTCTTGATGCGGTTTTTACAAACTTCCCTCTCCTTTGGTCGCTGTTCTGCCTTCTCTGAGCTCCTGGAATTCTCCCAGTTGTCACTGGATTGGCTGTCCTCCTTGGTCAGAGGGGACCTCTGTTCGATCCACCATTTCACACGCTTCACTTGCCTGTAGCCATCAGGTCTTGTACTACCTGCCCGGGAAGGTCCCGTTCGGCTGCAAAGTTCATACCCATTTAACAGAGGCGAAGGCTGAGACCCAGGCTGGCTCAGCAACACGTCCTGTGCCTGCCGCTGGTTTTCAGGGGGCCCTTGCAGGCCTGCTGCTTGGTGGGGGTCGTAGTCCCAGCGTGTCCAGCGATAACCTTCCTGACGTCATACCCGGTGGCCTGCGCCTCAGGCCTCACGTAGCCTCGTGGTGTGGGCTTGTGGGCACTTCTCCCTCCTGGCGGCCCTGCCTGCCCGGCCTCAGAGGGGCTCTCTTCTCCTCCCCGACCTTGTGTGCTCTTCGCCGGGCTCCTTCGTCATTCCCGCTCCCTCTGCGCCAGGTCGTCTGGGTAATTTCTGTCATTTTCAGAAAGTGGCAGCCACTGTCACTTACTGAGGACCTGCTGTAGTGAACAAGACAGTGGCCAGTGACAGAAACTCAGTGTCAGCTGGCTTCAGCAAAACTTCGCAGCTGGAAGTCCAGAGCAGATAGGCTCCAGGCCGGCGGCTGGGTCAGGGCCTTGGTCTCTGGTGGGAGAATGCCGGCCTTTCCTCCTGGCACGGCCTCAGGGGTCTGGGCACACAGAGGCAGCGGCGGCTGAGCTCTCTGCTGCTGACGGGCCCCAGGACCTGTCCTGGGAAGGATCAGGGCTGGCCTGGCCTGGGTCCCAGCCCCATCCCACGACTGTGAGGCTATAGGCCAGGGGTGTCAAATGCATCTTCACTGGGGACCACATCAGCCTCGCGATTGCCTTCCAACGGCCGAGTGTAACTTTAGGACTGTGAAAATGCAACTACTCCCCGACAGATAAGCAAGAGCTCGGTGCTGCCACCGGGTAGAAACAAGGTTCTGGGCCGGATAAAACAAGGTGGAGGGCCGGTTTTGGCCCATGGGCCTTGTGTTTGCCGCCTGTGCTCTAGGCACATACCCACCCCTGGAGAATCGCGTGGGACAGAGGAAGACGGTCCCGAAAGGCAGGCCAGCCGGGCAGAGCCCACAGTCCCAGTGTGGGCCTGGCACTCTGTGGGCTGGGTTCCAGGGGTCTCCGAACTTGACAGATGAGGAAACTGAGGCACAAGGTGCAGTTGGGTCTGGTTCCACATTCTCCGTTGTCTCCCATTTCTGCCTGTTGCTCAGACGGTTCCTGAACTGTCTGCTCAGCTCCGTCCTGGGCTTCTAACCACCTCCTGGCCCCATTATGGTCGAAAAGATGGAAAAGTGACCAGCTTCCTGCATCCTCTCCTGGTGCTGGCACGCGGCCTCCGCCTGCGCCCAGAGTGTGAGCGTCATAGCTCATTCTGGTTCTCTGGGGCCCTTTACTCCCATCCCCAAGACCTGGCAGGGCTGCCCCCGCGTGAAGCCCGTCTCTTCCCCCTTCCCTTGGGCGAGTCTGGCCCTGTTACCAGCTGTATGAGGCGTGGCTTTTGGTGGGCTCAGCCGCTGTTCCCACCCCTGGCTGCTCCTGAGCAGCACCTGGGTGCCTGACACACCCCGAAGTACTTACTGCCCCGCCCCGCCCCCGCCCTGCCCCCAGACCTCCTGAGTTGAGTCTTCAGGACTGGACCTCCAGTGAGCGTTCTGACAAACTCCAGTGGACAAACTCCAGTGGTGACTCTTAGTCCCCTGCCCTAGCCTTTGGGGCCACCGGCCCACGGTTAAAGGCCAGGCTGTGCTGGCCTCTGCGCATGCCCAGCCTGCATCTTCTACCCCACTTCTCATCACCCTGCCTGCCCTGTGAGGCAGTTCTGCCCCCACACCCCCAGACAGACGTCTTCTGGGAAGCGGGCACTCCTCGTGTTATTCATATTTAACGTCTCCTCTCCAACATCTGCCTGTAGTTTCCCTTCAGTTTTTGTTCAGATGGCAAATGCTGCCTCCTCCGTGAAGCCTTCTCTGATTGCTGTCTTGAAAGAATAGTTTGTTTCGTAAATGAGTATTTTGTATTTCCTCTGGCTGTGCTCTCCTTGGACTTGGGATGGGGGGGGCAGTGGTCCTTCTGCAAAATAAATCCTCTCTTCAGTGGTTATCTAGTTTTCGGAAAAACAGGTTTATGTTTATGAGCCACAGGGGTTGGCCTCTGTTCTTATCAGGCCCCTCCTTCACGCCAGGCACTGGGAGTGCTGGCCGCTAGACTTATCTGTCGTTGGAACGATAATTCAGAAAAGTCATCTCTCTAGTTTTTGAGATTGTAGTAGAGACCCAGGGTGCAAAAGTCAAGAGATGCGAGAGAGTGCGCTGTGAAAAGGAAGTCTCCCTCCGCCCGCCCCACCGGGCCCTGGAGCAGGGACAGCAGGCCTGACCGTCTGGGGCGGGGCTCAGCTCCCTCGGGCCTGCGTGCAGTGGAGGCGGTCAGTGCTCAGGGCGCCTCAGGTCCCGCACCGTCGAGGGGTCTGGTGCACGTGCTGTGGCCCGATGTGGACAGAAAGGGGAGCCAAGCCCGCCCTTTGCTCCCCGAGTTGGAGCTTCTCATGTTCTGAGCGCCCTGAGCTTCAGAGAGACTCGGCTCTGTCCCGGGAGCCCCTCCACTGTCTGTTCGCAGGTTCCTTCGTGTCTCCCGTGTGCCAGGCTCCACGTGTTTTCAGGGGCAGAGACCTGTTTGTTCCAGGGCCGGTGGAGGGAGAGCTGTGGGGCGGGGGGTGTTGCACGTGGACAGGGTGGAAATGACCACTGTCGTTGGCTTCATGAACAGAACGACGGGCACACGGGGATAATCTGGGTCCTGCGAGGATTAGCTCCGGGGGGCGGGCGGGGGGAGACGCAGGCCCTGGCCGGCAGGAGCCCTCTGCACCTGGTGTGGGTCACGTACACAGGCCCTCTGTCTCCTCCTGTGTGCGTCCTTGTCTTCCCCACTGTGTGGTCCCAGTCTGGTCACTGGAGCTTTCCTGGGGACTTGATTTCTGTCCGGAAGCAGGGACAGGGGCAGGGCGAGGAGGTGCACGGAGCCCAACCTGGCTAGTTACGGTCACACGTTGTGAGACTGTGGCCGCACTGTCCCAGGTGCGCGAGGGGGGCCAGGACAGCCGAGGAACGAGGCAGGGCTGAGAGACGCTGTGCGAGCCGAGCTGGCGGCTGGCTGTGGCACGGGCTCCCGGTGATGCTGCCTGTCCCCCGCTGTGGGCTCTGGTGGCCCGGGCTGTGCAATGGAGCCCGGTTTGTCCCCTCATGGAATCACGGACAGCAAGGAAGCGGTGTGACTGTGGGCCCCTGGACCGGCCACTGATTCTCCCAGCGGGTGCCTCGGGGTTGGGGTTCCATGGAGGTGCTGGGGGCCGAGGGGCAGGTGGCCGGGCGCATCCGGCGGTGTGACCTGGTGAGCCGTCCCAGATGCGGCTTCCTCGTGAGGTTCCCCTCCTTGCCGGGCTCTCAGAAGGCGTCGGGAGACGCTCGTTGAACGAGCTCACCAGCAAATGTAAGACCGGCAGGTTTCCCCTCTGCGGTGCTGTGTGAGGGGAGGCCCAGAGGGTTCCCCGGGAGCGTGGGGCCGGCGCCCCCTTCGACTGTGAACCCCGCGAGGGCCCCCGGAGTGCGCAGGCACTGAGCCGCGGTTTACGTCCTTACGTTTCCCACGGTTTACGTCCTTACACTTCCCAAGGTTTACGTCCTTACGTTTCCCACGGTTTACGTCCTTACGCTTCCAGAGCGTCGGTTTGCCAGGTGCGCTCCCTCTGCCGCAGTCCCTGCTCCGAAGACGGGATGGGCGCAGGTCAGCTCAGTGTCTTGCCTTTCCTGGTCACAGCGCCCCAGCGTCTGCCGGAGGCCCCGCCTTCTTCCCAGGAAAACGCACGTGGGTGCGGTGGCTGGCATGCCATCTGCCGTCCGTACAGACCCCGGGCCTTCTCCAGCCCTCACCCCTAGTGACGGCCCATCCGTGCTCTGGAGCCCATGGCTGGGAGAGTGGCACCCGCGTTCTCAGGAGTGTTCGGGCTCTGTGCAGATGGGGTGAAGGTGGCGTGGGTCAGGGCTGGCTTCTTGAGGGCATTTCTGTCTGCGCTGGATTTGAAAGGCTGGGGTAGAAGGTGGGGACCCAGGTTAGGTGATGAGACCTGGACCTGAAGTCCCATGTGCTGGGCCTCACTCGCAGGAGGAGTGTGGGGTGGGGAGGTCGAGGTGGGTGAGCTGGCAGGGAGCCTTGGTGTGCCCTGGGGAGACCCCCATCCTGGAGGCTCTGTATTGGGGTTGGGCGAGTCAGGGCACTGGTGTTGGAGACCAGAGGCCATGGGATCCTGGCGGAGGGGGGAGACGAGGCCCAGGCTTGGGGGATATCGGTGAACGCGGAGATGGTTGAACCAGGGTCGGAGGGTGGGCAGGGCATCTGTGGGGGCCAGAGGCGGCCAGGAGTGGACGAGCAGCTGGCGAAGGACTGAGGGCTTTGGAGACCTCCCTCCATGAGGGGTGGCGTAGGCTGGAGCGAGCGGGGCTGGGGTAGGCCAGGGGGGCCAGGCTGAGGTGGTGATGGCGGATCATGGGTAGTCCCGGCTGGAGTTTCGCTGCCAAAGGCCCGGCCCCAGGACTGCGGGCGTGGGTGGTGGTGGCGGCTGTGGGGAAGCCAAGTTGGTGTCTGTGCAGGACTGGCCAGGTCCTTCTGGGGAACCAACCCTCTCTTGCTGCCAGAAGGTGGTTTTGAGGGCCGGCTAGTAGTTCACAGAACTTCTCCTTGAAAATGAGGCCATTCTGGGGAGCAAGGCCTGAGAGGTGCAGCCGCTGGCTCTCCCCACCCTCCTTCCTTCAGCTGGCTGTCGAGAACATTCTGGAAGGGTGCTCCCTGCCTGCCAAGTAACCTTTGTTTTCTCTGTTTTCACCCACAGGAAGCGAGGGATAGAAGTCGTGCAGGTGAGTACAGACCTTGCCGTCCCCGTCTTTCAGGCCCGGGGCCTCTCGGTGCTCACGTTCCCCTCTCCCTGGGGCCCGGGCGCCCAGCCTCCCTCCGTGTACTTCCCGTCTTCGGTGCCTCCCCTGCGGAGCCTGCGCGGTTTCCTGCCGGGCAGAGCACAGGCGGGCCGGTGGTCTCTCGGGCTGGGGAGTTGCCTGTGGCTTTGTCCATGGAAGGAGCTGGCTGGGTGAGAGATGGAGCTCTTCTAGGTGGGGGGAGGGTGGGCAGGGGGAGGGCGGCATGGCCACCCAGCCAGATGCCCGTGGTCCCGATGCCCCACGGTTTGTCGAGTCCCTGCCTTGTTTGTTCAGCCCTCTGGGGATGAGCCCTCATCTGTGTCCGGCCTTCCTGTGAGTGGTGTCACCTCCAAGACCACTCCTGTTCCCTCTGCCCCAAGTCAGGGCGTGCACCGTCCCCCCCGACACCCCCTCTTGATGTCAGGCCGCATCTGACCTTCCCTGTGGGCCCCCGGCTCCCAGGTGGACTGAGTCAGTGGGGGCTCTTGTCCCCTGTGTTGCGTCACCCAGGGGTGGATTTGGGTCAGGTGCTCATTGGCTAGAGAAGGAAGGAAGGAGGGAAGGAGGATAGAAAGGAGGGAAGGAAGGAAGGAGGGAGGGAGGGAAGGAGGGAGGGAGAGCAGGAGAGGAGATCTTCCAGGGCCTGGAGCTGGCGCCCCTGGGCCCTAAAAGAAGTGTGCAGACCTGACAGCACCTGTGTGGGCGGTTGGCGAAGTGGGGTGCGCTAACTCTCCAGCAGCCCTGGTGTCGGACTTCTGGATTCTTCCGCCTGGCCTTCCTCTTCTGCAGCTTGTGGGTTGAACTTGTCACCCAGCGGCTGAGGTTTGTTTTGGGGGAGGAGGTAGTTCCTGGAAGCCGTGTCGTCAGCTCGAGCGTTTCCATCCAGGCTGCTCTCGTCTCTGCAAAGGTGCATGGTCTGCCCTGAGCGCTTCCGTTGACTTCTCTGGACGTCCAAAGGAGGAAGTCAGAGTGCCGGCTTGGCTGAGAAGTTTGCCTTCCGGGACACTTCTGACTGATTGGTAGCGGTTGCCTTGAAGGATTCTAGATCTGTGGACGGCCGAGGGCAGGGATCGATTGATGATGCCTGCAGTGGGCAGAGGGGACGGGGTGTGTGTTTGTCACTCAGGGGCTGGGCTTCTCAGGTCGCTCCTGCCCCAGGGTCCTTTGGCTTGGTTTTGTCTCGCGGTCCTTTCCAGTGGTTTCCTTGGAGTCCCCGGACCCTTCTCGGATGCGCTGCGCCCACCACCAAGGCCTGGGCCCGTAGCTGGAGCTTAGTCTGCCGAGAGCAGAGGGCTTCCTTGAGGTTGGCTCCAGCCTCGTGTCAGGGTCCACACGGGAATTTCTGCTGGGAGCCGTGTTCAGGGGAAGTGACTTTATTTTTAGGGAGAGGGGAGAGGCAGGGAGAAAGAGAGGGAGAGAAACATCGACCAGTTGCCTCTGGCACATGCCCCCAACGGGGACCAGGCCCCCAACCCAGGCACGTGCCCTGATCTGGAACCTCACTGGCGGCCCTTGGCTTTGCGGAACGAGGTCCGGCCAAGCCACACCGGTCAGGGCTAGAGGAAGTGACTTTACTTGCTCACCGAAACACACAGCTTAAAAGGGGAAGAAATGTGCCCCTTCCCCAGTACCTGATTCCTGTTCCTGAAAGATCCCACCACGGAGGGAAGGGGAGGGGGCCTCGGCGTGCTTCAGGGCGTGAGGGAGGACTCCAGGGGTCAGTGTGTTTGATTTACGCAGCTTCCCCAGGGAGATTTAGACTAAAGCCTTTAATCCACTTAGTCAGCGGGGGCGGGGGCGCTGGAGACTGGAGCCTTTGTTTCAGAATGCACCCGCCAGAGAGTTACGAAACCTCTCTTGATGTATCCACTGTTCATTTTGGTGACGCCTTGGGGGAGGAAGTGGTGGCTGGGGACCACAGTGAAGCCAAATGGATGCTTTCCACACTGGCATCTAAAAATAAAACCCACCACGGTGCCCCTCTGTTCACTCTTGCTGGCATCCCTGAGTGTTTGGAGAACTTGAAATTTCAAAACAGAGAGAAAGCCTCTTCGCAAAAATCGGAAGCGAATCCACTCAGCTGGTTTTTCAAAATCAATCAGGCTCCTGCGCGCCAGATCCCCGGGCCGGGTGCTGGAGCCAGGGGAGCACTGGGCGGGTCACTAGGTGTCCGTGGCGGAAGAGGGGGAAACACGCAGCCACCCGCCCCCACCGTTGCTCCCTGTGCTGGGTGCCCCGACGGGATTCTCCCGTTCTGTGCAGCCGCCACGCCGTGTGGTGGCGTTTCCCCGTCTGCTCGAGAGACGAGGGAACAGGTTCAGATGTTGCGGCTTCTCTTGGGGAGCTCAGCCGGGAAGTGGTCGGCGTTGGGGTTTGCCTGCGGGTCTGTGTGTCTCCAAAGCCTGCGGGGTAACAGACGGCCCCGGTCGCTCTCCACGTGCCGACCGGAGGGAACCGAGCACCGGTTAGACCTGCAGGGGGTTAGACCCGCGGGGCGTCCCTGTCATGGGTGGTCCTCCTCCTCCTCCTCCCGCGAGTTGTGCAACGGCGGCCGTGACAATGTGAGGGTTTCACATTTGTTAGGTACTTTGGGGAACCAGGCATCGATGGTGTTGACTGCGCGTGTAACCTGTCCACGGCAGCGGTGGGAGCACATTTAACGAGTCCGCTGTGTGGCTCCTCGGCCGCCTCGTCCTCCCTCCCACAGCCGACCCACCGGGGAGGGCGCCGGTGCACGGCCCTGCCCAGCTGTCCCCTTCACATCGGCCCCCGCCCACGTCCACGGAGCACTGTGCACCGTGCAGCGAGGCGCCAGACGTCTGGGTTCACAGTTCTGGCTGTGCGACCCTGGCCCGTTGTCTAACCCCCCCGGTGCCTCAGTCTCCCCACCTGTAAAATGGGAATGAGAACGGTACCTGTGCCCTGGGCTCGTTGTTGGGACTAATGCAGTTAATCCGGGTAAAACAGTGGGTACCGTGCCGGGCGCACGGGAAGCTGCTTATCTACCGGACAGCGACACACCGTCGTTACCAGGTGTGAATCTGGGGGTGACGTGGGGCACACCGCCCCGGGCGTCATGTGGCTGGTGATCGTGACCCTGGGGCAGTGAGGGACTTGCAGGCCTTTGCTTGAGATGAAACCAGAAGAGGACACGGCTGAGTTGTCAGCTGATAGGACATCACAGTGACTTTTGGCAGTAAATTACTGTGATTCTTGGCATATAATCCTGAAGGCATTCGGAGAGTGTGCTGTAGTGCTTCTCTGTTCCGTCCTCTCTATTCCTGCACACGTCTTGGCACTTGGCAGCTGTAGAAATTGAAAAGTAGAGATAGAATTGATGATACACTCAGCCTCATTCTAACAACAGGTCATAACATCCTTCTGTGGAGGCATGAAGCAGCTGGAAGACTTTCCACTCATCTCTTCCGAGATGTATTTCTAACGATGCCTAATTTTTCGTGCTTGTTACTTATACACATTTATAGTATACTTCTGTCATATTGATCAGCTATGTAGTATTAGTAATTGTAATAACAAGTCTGTCCAGAAGAAAACTTTTGACAGTTTGCACATGAAATTAAAAAAACTAAAACATTGATGTCCATTATTATTATTATTATTATTATTATTTTTGCCCGGTAGCGTAGTGGATTACTCAGTAGAAGGCCCTCAGACGTGAACCACGCAACATGGACACGGGCTGGAGGCTGGAGGCTGGGGCGGCAGGAGGGGCGCCCTGACGCGCCAGGTGTCTCTAAGGAGCGTCTGACTCTCTAATTGTGAGATGGATGACGGGGGCCTCAGATCGCTATGCTATTTAGATTCCACTGCATCCATTTAAAAGAGAAATGGTAGCAGTTTTATTTTGAAATGTTAATATTTACAGTGCGTTGGAAATTACATCCTCTCCAAGCATTTAAACTGGCGATGAGACGTTTTGGATGTCAGCTTGAAAATGTGCAAATAGAAACGTGGCCTTAAACGTTTATGTTGGGGGTTTCAGCTTGAAGGCCGTCACCCCCGTGTACTTCTCAAAGCCGGGCTCCGAGGCAGGTGCCGCCTCAGAGGGGGACAGCGCTGGCCCCCAGCCCATCGGGCAGAGGCCCCGCGGGGCGGGGGCGCTCAGGCTCGGGGGCCTGGGTGTCTGCGGGCAGCGCGCTGGTCTGGCCGTCCTCTGGCCGACCTCCCCAACCCGGGTCTGTTAGGTCGGGCGATGCTTGGCCGTAAGGGACGCGTGCCGCCCGCTGCTCCGCTGCGACCCCGTGACCTGTGGGGAAGGCTCGCAGGGGAAGCCTGCGACGTGCCCTCACCTCTGGTCTCCGTTGCGCCTTTCTGGAGCAGCCCAGCGTTGGGTGGACGGAGACCCTGAACGAGAGCGGGCGCCCTGCCCTGCCCACCCATCCCCTGTTCGTAGGGCCTTTCCCAGGTGCTTTCGCAGAGCAGGGGAGGGGAGGGGACCCTAGCCTGTGAAGGGTTGACCTTTTATTTTTAAATGCAGATGAGCAAGCTGTAAGTGTGAGAAGCAGTCGCTGGTTAGAGACTGGTTAGAGATTCGCCGTCCCCCTTCCACATTCCTTGAAGACTGAGACACGAGGAGACCCAGTCCTGGAGCAGCCGCTGCTTCCCAGGCTGGCGAGGGAGCCCATGTCCCCAGCCTGCCACAGCACCCCGTCAGGGTGGGCCTTGCTTGGGGTCCCTGCAGAGCACACTGTTCAGGGAAGGGAGTTGGGTTGGGGACAATCATGCGGGAGAGGAAACACCAGGAAAGAAACAGATGCTGAGAGCAGGACTGGGTGCTGGGCGTCTGGAGTCGCAGAGGCAGGGTGGCTGGGTGCCCGGTGCACGGGCACGCCCAGAGGGTGGGGGGCATGCGAGGATGAGGACGCGGGGGCTGGCACTTAAGGGGGGGAGTGGGCTGAGGTAGGGAGGCCGAGGAGGGAGAT